TCTTTGTTTAAGGTCTCACAAGCATCTCTGAATATAAGGTTTGTCTCCGTGAGCTGCAGTCACATCATACACAATATGAATACTTACATTTACATCAATTGTATTGAAAAATGAAGAGATTCACACATATTACTGTGTATATAATTGAAACAAGATATAATACTTTCAAGATTGGTTGGTTGTGTGTTGATTTATGTTTGACATAGTCAAGCTATGTCAAATATATGTGGGCAACACTACCAGACTATCATGTCCATTACTAATGTCACCGGAAAGATCAAATTAAGTCATGTCAACTGTAAATGACCAACTTTCAAGCTGAATCACGTCAGAAAACAAGGGTATATCCTATTAAAATGCAAAATTCCAACAAACAAAATAAGAAAATTCAAGTTCGGTCAGACCCAAGTTGGCCAATGATACGAATTCAACGAAGCCGCTACACAATATGGTAGACTTACATGGTTTCCTGTAGAATCCCGTAATAGAAATAAAGAAAGAATATTCCCGAGGCGTAGATAAAGAACTTTGCCGTTTGGAGGAAGGACTGCGGCGGCGTTTCAGTCATTGTCCTTTTTTTCTGTTAATTTGGCACCTTCGCTTCCACTGCTGCTCTTGTGTTGTCGCTCCGTGCCCTCTACCAACCTTTACGATAGACGTGTAACTCTTGTCAATATAAACAAAAAACAGAGCCCGATCGCTTTTATTCCAGAAAAGACTTTTGATTCTATGAAGTGGTATTCTTGTTTGGCACTGAGAATGAGATCCAATCCCATGTCGCTTATGAGACGTGCTGCCAGCTGATTTGTTGGATCCGATAATGTTCGCGTAGACGTTTTCGCAAGGGGAATGTGACGTCATCGAATTTCTTCCTCTCTCTCTTTTTTTTACTCTTCTCTTTCCAAACATCTGTTGCGTTAATTTCTTATTTATCATATATCAAATTATTTTGATTGTGAAGTCTGAGCTGACTCACGTTACGCTATGCTCATTAAAGTTATGCAGAATTTCTGATATTATGCAGCGATAAAGTGTATATTTTTACCCAAATATTACATAAGCTCTTTCGCAATTAGCATTTCCTAATGAACTACTAAAGAACAAATATCTTATACTACATCACAAATGTTTTCTAAGTTGGACAATGTTTTACATTTAAATCTATGACCTGTAATAAATAGATTATTATCGTTTATCAATGTTATTATTATCATTATTAATATTATTGTTATAATCATCCTTATTATTATCATTATTATATTTATCATTATCATTATTATTATCATTATTATTTTTATCATTATTATTATTATTATCATTGTTTTTATTATTATCACTGTTATTACTGATATTATTATTATTTATAGAAATTTTATAGAAACAATTTTAATCTCGATATTATTACGGAAAATACATTGAAGATTAATTAGCATTTATATCACAGTTAGGAGGCCATCCACATCTTTACCGACAGCTGTAGTTATCAATTCCACTTTTAATATTAATGATGACTGAATCAATACCCATTAGATTATAGTATGATGAAATTTATATAGACACAGAAAGCTGACCTCCCATGCATACCCCACATATGCAACCATTCGAGACTGCAAGTTTTTCATTACCTCAAGATAATCGTTTTAAAAGTCGGCGGCAGTGTTTAATTTACTCAACCATTCCCCGGCAATTGAGTGACTGTCTGGGCGGCGCTGGCCAGGGCGTTCGATTTTCTCATTTTGGGTTTATATTGTTGTATTGTCCAGTTTTTTTTGGTGATTTTTGACAATTTTTCATATTTTTTGTGTTGTATGTATAAGGCTTGTAGAATAATTTCGCTATTTTATTGTAGCTGAAAAATTATTATGTTCTGTTTCGGGTTTAGTTTAATTCTTAAGACATTAATTCAATCTATATAAAAACACACCTTGAATATCAAAGCTCTTTCCATGATAACTTCACCATTTTAATTTAGCAATAGGAAATAACTGACATCAAATATGAACATCAAAATCAAAGGAAGCGGTTGCTAAGGCAGTTGCTAGGGACGCGTTATCCGAACAAGCACGGCCAACTCAGGTACGTACCAGATATATGTTATATAATTTAGTGTCAGATATCCAAAAAACAAAAGCACAAATAGTCCTCACTAATTAATAAACAATAAGAAGCAACGCATTTCGATAATGCTTTCTTTCAAAATTACTGTTTTATGTGGTACGAAATAAAAAAAACAAAAAAATAAAAGGGGCATGCTAGTTTAGACATAGAAATCCTTTAGTAATCTTAGAAACCATCTGTCAAATATCATTTGTTTGGCATTTATTTGGTTCTTTCTAATTGTCTCTTGGCATTTTATAAGAGTGTTATAAGGTTATTCATTTTTTACACTCCAGAACTTGAATTTTGTGAAAGACTTTTACACGACGTGAGTGGCGTAGATAAACGTTTGGGGGCCGGAATGATAGGTGTCTCTATTAGCTCTTTATATCGTTTAGGTCTGATGTAGGGGAAAAAAATATATATGAAAGTATAAACACTTGTCTAATAACTTTAAATAAAGATGGGTATTCGGCAAATGAACCTTTACGTGTTTAGTAACGTGTATCTTATTTTGTTTCGTGTGGAATTAGGAAGGCAGCGGAAAGGATTCAAAGGACCAATAAATAGAAAAAAGAAGTTGAAGGAACAGCGCATGCGAAAATAGTCAGAAGAAGTTGCAAAGTGAAGAAAGAAGGAAGATAAACGAGAAGAATAAGAACATTGGTAAGCATTTCCCAAGTGTTACACAACAACCAAAATGAAGGTGGAGAAGCCTGTGGCACGGCACTTGCCCGAAGATTGGCATCGTAACAACGCCGCTCTTCGCCAGGCCAGCCACGATACGCGGACGACTTCCCACAATCTGCGGAATGAGAGTACACACTTTCGTAATCAGGTTAGTACAGGAAGTCATTATGTACATTATAACGTGTGTCCGTGTTTTTTTTTTTAACACTTATATCTGTTTGTATGTTTATTTATGATTTTGGGACGTGTGTGTCTGAGTGTGACTTCTTACCCTATTGTATTTATTGTTGTTTATTTTATTTTACAGACAACCAATAAAACGTGGTGGGATAATGCGGACAACACCATACGCCTTCAAGACCGAATCTATGAAGTCCAGAGGGTCACTGACGACCTGGATCGTTCGCTGAGACAAGTGGGTTCCTTTGGGCAATAGTCGAACTCGAGAGATATGCGAGGCAGTATTTGTGTTACCTGGAAAGTTTATGATAAATCAAGATACCAGTTTTTGAAATTGGACATCTACCATTATTTCTGATTATGGGACAATTTTCACTTTTTAATTATCTGTTTGTTTCATTCTCTCTTATTCCCATCTTCCTTCTCCCCTTCACCCTTCCCTCCTGTCTTTTCCCCACAATTCGTCTGCTCATTCCAATTTTCCTCTTATTTTCCACCCATCCATTTCCTCTCTCTCCCTTTTCCCCATTCTACTCTCTCCCTCACCAAGACCCTGGCCGAGATCGCGAAGCTGGAGGCCGCCAAGGAGACAGCGGAAGCCGAGCTGGAGGCAAGAGTGTCACCTCTCAACACGGCCATGGAGTGCCTCACCCTCAGAGAGCGACGCAGGGAGGGCGACCTCGTTAAGGATGATATTGAGGTGAGGATATGAATGCACACTATGCATGACTCGTATTCGCACTCGCGCCTTTGTTTAAAACGCACAGGATGCATATGTACGCGTATTAACTCTCACTGTCATAAGGCATATATATGTATTTTGATTAACACGTACACATACATATGCTTTTATATGATTCTACACACGTATACATACAGAAAAATGTTTTCACCATACGCAAATGCACATACATATTAGCACATATGTTATGCAGTGTACACATCCGCCCACACATGAGTAGTTTCAAATAAGCATAAACTAGCGTACTGTAATCAAACATGTGTACACATGCATTTACCTACCCAGGTGCAACTGTTTCAGTCTGTTGTCTTTATAGCTCCCATATTTATAATGTTTATATGGTGTTTTCTCCTTCTTCTAAAGAGTGAGAAAACAAACTTACAAACCCACTCCACAGGAAACTACTCCAGAGCCTCACAAGGGTGTCTCACGTGAATCTGAGATTATCTCAAGCACATCTGCGATATTTGGGCGAAAATATAGTGATTTTAGCCATTCCGATTTCCTAATATCTCAGTGGAATTATTTTTCTTTCAGCATACCTATTTTGTATTCCGCCGTCGTTATCCAAAATGATTTACTTGCACGTACGTTATATTAGCATTGCAGAACTTTCCACAAGTGAGAATTAATTGGCCTCGCTTCGCATTTAGCAAATAGTGCAAAAATAGGACATGAACCTTTACCACAACCCCAGTGTCTGCTTCGTAGATTAAATTAATCAACATAACATAACACACACAAAAATCACTTTCTCTGTGTCATTATCAGGGCCGGATTATCCTATAGGCTAGTATAGGCTGCAGCCTAGGGCCCCTCAAGCTTGGGGGCCCCAAGCTTAAGGGGCTTGGTTATAAAAATCTGTTTTTTTTTCACAACGATTGTGTTTAAATATAGTAAAATAGTGGTAATATTTAAAGAATATTTTTATTGACAAACAAAAGATAGCTATGCTAGTTTATTTAAAGAATTTGCAATAAGTTTACTTCAAGCTATGTATGTCGCTAAAATATATCACGAGTAAAAAATGTTCTGAGGGGTCCCCATAATTTTATTAGCCTAGGGGCCCCAAAAGGTCATAATCCGGCCCTGGTCATTGTCATTTACCGCAGCACCAGTGTCTGCCTAGTAAAAGTATCCTCTTAACATAACACAACAAAGAATAGACTCCATCGTTCCGTTACCACACAGCTGGAGCTTCACAAGGAGGTGCGGACGCTTGAGAAATCGCGAGCCGAGCTTGAGAAGGTCGTCCTCGATGCGGTGTCGCAGCTGAGGGTACTCCACGAAG